TGCTGGCCCTGGTCTGAAGGTCACGCTGCTGCGCAGTGGGGACAGTGCAGAGTCCGGGATCCCACCGGTGCACTGGGGCTCAGCGGCACTCCGAAGCGACCAGCCATCATGTTTTGGGGTCTCCTTTCCCTCCTCCTCTTCTCCGTGGCCAGCGGGACGCCCATCGGGGACCAGGATGAGGATATCCAAGTGCAGGAGAATTTTGAGGCTGAGCGGGTAACGGCAGCTTGCAAATTTCTGGGGGCAGAAGGGATGGGGGGAATATTTATTTAATTTTCCTTCAGAAAGAAAGGCACTATTATCCATGCCCACATCAGGCTGTGCAGGACAGGCATTGGCAGCGCTGGGTGCCAGTCAGGAGGTGCCACCCCACCAGCACCAGCCCTTGGGACGGCCTCACCCCAGCAAACACCTTGGCAGGGCAGCTGGAGCCCAAGTGGCTGGGGCTAATAAATCCCATGAGATATCTGTTGATCTGCCCAGTGTAGGAGGTGTGGGCACGGCCCGCGGGCAGCCCCAGTGCACGGGATTCCTGTGGGCAGCAGATTGCCTGGGAGACTCAATGATCTTAAAGGTGTTTTCCAGCCTAAATAAATCCATGATTCTATCTGCAGGCAGCCCTGTCCCTTGCCAGGCCCTGCACAGCCCCGCACGTGTGCCTGGGTCTGGGATTCCCCAGGACACACGAGGAGATGCCAGCCTGATGCCTCCAGCCCCGCCTGTTGGTCAGGGGACCCAGGCAAATCCTGCTCGGTGCTGATTTGCTTCCCAAATCCTGCAGCAGCTCTGGCCCCGGCACCCTGTGCCATCACCCCATGGTTACTTTCTTGGCTGCGAATATTTCAGCTCTGCAGAAACCCCGATGCCCCACCTCAGTGGAGAGGGCTCGTGGCGGAGACATCCCTTTCTCCTGGCAGATGTATGGGAAGTGGTACGACATCGCCATCGGCACGACCTGCAAGTGGATGAAGAACTACAAGGAGAAGTTCAGCATGGGCACACTGGTGCTGGGCCCCGGCCCCAGCGCCGACCAGATCAGCACTGCCAGCACCAGGCTGCGGTATGGGGCCCTGACGTGGGTGCTCGAGCCTCCCCCAAAGCCCCCCCACCCAGACGGGCTGCATCTCCCAGGGACTGGGACCACACATGGGGGTTGCTTGCTCTGGCTGGTATCCGAGCCCTGAGGAGGAGCTGGATTGGGCTCAGATACCCAATGCCTTGGGCAGGGGGATTTCGAGGGTCCCGTGCCATGGCCTCAGTGCCTCAGGCATGATTTTTGTGCCATAACCAGGAAAAGCCATTGCTCTGGGCAGCTGATTGTTTTCCTCCTCCCTCCAGGCAAGGCGACTGCACGCGCACCTCGGGAGAGTACCAGAAAACCAGCACCCCCGGCAAATACACCTACTACAACCCCAGTAAGTCGGGCTGCGGCATGGCTGGGCGATGGGAACCAGCGCTGGGCACAGCTGGCACGGCTGGGGGAGGGATTCAGGAGAGCAGGGCTCAGAAGCCACTCCACAATTTGGGTCATTTCCAGGCAAAGTACGGAGTGAAGTTGGGGGAAAGGGGCTGTTTCAACACTGTCCCTGCACAGGCACAGGACTATGAGATGCTCCAGCAGATCACTCCCATCCCCAGGGTCCCAAGCTGGGGCAGGATCCCACCAGCCACCTTTCAGAAGCATTGGTGGTATCTCAGTTGTCTGCAACCCTTGGTTTCCAATCCCCTTGATTAGCAAGAGGCTGGTGGGCCTAAAGGGAGTTGGGATTGTATTCGAGTCTGTTTACCCAAAATCGGCTATTTTCTTGAATTAGCTGCCTGATTTCAGCCCCCAGCTCTGGGGCTGTCTTACACTGCCCTGTTTCTCCCTGAGGGGCAGGAATGATGTCCCCCATGTCTCTGTCTCACCCAGAATGGGATGTGTCTATCCAGTCCTATGTGCTCCGCACCAACTACGAAGAATACGCTGTCATTCTGATGAAGAAGAAAAGTAGTTTTGGCCCAAGCACCACCCTGAAGCTGTACGGTATGTCTGGCTACGACACTTGTGGGCAAGCAGGCTCTGGGGTGGGCCAATGCAGCTCAGAAACACCACCCAAGGGTCCCTCAGGTCTCTTGCCTCAAGGGACCTGCCCATGGCTTTGCAAGTGGTTCCTTGGACCAGCTCATCTTCAGCACCACAGAGGTCGAGTCTTGTGGCTCAGCTTAGAGCGATATCACACAATGAACATCTGAACCTGCCTGTTGTTTGGGATGGAGGTGACAATACCTGCTTGGAAGGAAGCCAGGTCCTGCAGTGGCAGCAGATGCCGCCTTTCATGAAACATTAAAACTACTTTGTCCAAGCCCTTGGTCAAGGCTGATCAAGAGTAACAGGGGAGAGGCTGGGAAGGACCAGGAGGCTGGTACTGGGCCTGCCTGCAGCTGCCTGAGCTCTGCGGGTCGGTGGGTGGTTGGGGGGCTGCATGCAGACCTCCTCCAACAACAGCCCCACTCAGCCTGTTTCCTTGCCCAGGAAGGAGCCCAGAGCTGCGGGAGGACCTCATCGAGGCTTTTCAGCAGTTGGCTCTGGAGATGGGCATCCCTGCAGACTCCATCTTTATCCTGACCAACAGAGGTAACCCACCATGGGGCACACACCCCTCCTGCTGCCTGTCTTCTGGCATGCCGGTGCACTGGGGCTGCTGCTTCTTGGTGCATGGGGCTGGGGAGATGGGGAGATGGTCAGGATGGAGGGAGGAGTGATGAGGGCTTTAGTAAAATGGGATGGGAAGGAGATCAGGCCACATATCTGTCAGGCTTCCACCAGCTTCCAGTCAGTGGGGTCCTTGCTGGGCTGTCAGGTCAATGCACCCGCAACACCACGCTGGGATGAGGGTACAGGACACCCAGAGACACTCACGACTGCTCCCCATGGCTGGGTGCTCCCAGGACCTGAGGAGCTCCTTGCTCAGCCTGGGGTTGAGAAGGTGCTAGCACGATGCAGGTGGGTGCGGGGATTGCAGGGTGATGCTCCTGCGAGTAGGAGGTGGAAAGCAGCAAGAGGGAAAGAACACTGGGGCGAAACTGGGAAGGCGACCCCTTCGCTGGGGTCCTGTGTGCGCATGGTGCAGGACCACAGTCAGATGAGTTTGTCAGGACATCTCCCTTCTCACACTGCTGATCTTCTCTCCTGTCATGTGGGCCAGGTGAATGCATCCCCCAGGTGACTGCAACTGCCTCCCAGGTGAGTCATCCAGCCGGGACTTCCTGAGATGGATCAAGGCTGGGGACATCCCCTCCAAGCCAAAGCTACTGCAGACCTAGAGTCCGAGGACCAGACTCCGTGAGCAGGACATGTTGTTCAGGCAGCGGCTCCACTGACCATCCTGGGAGATGCTCTTTCATCTCTGTGAGGATGCAGGCAGGGCACAGGCGGGCACAGGCTGCAGGGTGAGGGTCCTGGGGGCCAGGTGGGCACCAGGGCTTGTTCCCCAGTGGAAGGCAATGGCCCTTTCCTACTTTGATTTTTCACGAGGTGTAAGTTGCCACATGCAGAGCCTGGTGTCTCCTTGTTCCTTGCCTGGCTGTGGGTGCCCCAGCCAGGCTGTGAACCCCCCCTCCAGGGATGGGGAGGCAGCTCAGGACTCCACTGATCCTTCAACTACAGTCCCTCAGCACCTCCTGATCTCGCAGGGTTGAGTTTAGGAGGATTTTCAAGATGTGATGGGATTTCTTAGGAGAAACAGCCCAGTTGACTCGAGAGCAGGTAACACCACCCTGCATCAGCGAGAGCAGAGGCACATCCCCAGCCCAGCACAGGGCATGACTGGGGCACTTTGGATGTCCTTATCCAAAATACACGATCCTAGTGCCCACCCGGGATGAGCACAGGGCTGGGAAGATCATGAGGTGTGGAGGGATCACAGCCTGTTGACCCAAGATCTCCAGCTCCCAGCTGGAGATGAGCTGGGAGTGCCAAGGAGGGTTGGAGCGTGCACGGGCTGCAGCACCCAGCACAGCCTGTCAGCGGGGGTCCAGGTCCCGTGGCAGGGGCTGACAGCAGCTCTGTGCTTCCTTCCCTGTGCAGAGGGCGCGGAGAGCGGTCCTGCCCCCCGAGGAGGGCTCGGCCGTGGGACCCCTGCCCCCTTACGTCGGCAATAAGGAAGGTAGGTCCCAGGGGAGGGGGGCTGCATCGGGCATCCCCCTGCCCCGCATCCCCGTCTGCCTGCGACAGCCCGTGCCGCGCTCGTCCGCAGACTCGTGCCGGCTGAGCCGGGACCCCGGGCCCTGCAGCGGGATGCTCTCCCGCTTCTTCTACAACTCCTCCTCCATGGCCTGCGAAACC